CCGCCGCAGTGAGGGTGCAATAGGTAGAGATGGGCGATAACAAATAACGACTCGTATTATTCATTGCCCGTTTTCATGTGTTGAGCTGTTGAACTTCGACGTACTATGTTGGATGGGCTTTACACTCGCTGCCCTGGCGTGGAAACTGTGGAGTACCGCCGCAGCAACCCATCGTTATATGTGATACGTATCACCCATTCCCAAGTATGTTGAGTGGCTCAACTGTGTTCAGAGGTGAACCCTCTTTGCCGCCTGCCTCAAGTGATGTGGGTGTTTGTGTGTCCGCGTTTGGTATTGCAACTATGCCGAACCCTTGCTGCAATGGCCGGGAAGACTTGCAATGGGAGTGTGGTGCGCACTGCGTACTATGCAGCAGTACCAGCCGCAGCAAGTGGTGCAGGTTGGCATGCCATACACTGGAACTTTACACACGGCTTGTGTGTTGTTCAGTTCTCCAAAACACTCCATGTATTACAAACCGCAGAATACATGACCTGGAAAACGCCCACACACGTTTATGAAGCGTGCAACCAACACAATTCGAGCTGCTGCAAAATGGAAACCCCTGGCAACTTCGCCTTGACCTTGCCGTGGCTGGAAAGCAAGTACCTACGGGACAGAGCGGACCAAAATTATGAATCCACGGATGTTTTGTTGCGGACCGGACGCCGCGCACGCCCTCCGTTAATTTAACGGCAAATAACGGTGAAGAAAAAGTGAGAGCCGGATTCTGCGGACGGCAGTACGGCAAACAGCGGACTGGATGTTACCGGACGAATATCACACTCACTTTTACGAACCGGACGCAACGGAGCGGACGGTACCCGAGTGTGGCCACCTCTAGTGATGCCTTGGACTTTGATGTGGTCTTCGATGATGTCTTGGACGCTAGCTTCCTGCGCCCAGTTGGACGCCTCGATATCCTGGTGCATGCTCCTATGCTCCCTCTATGCCTCTTTTTCCCTATACAACGGTCTTCCCACCCTTGGCGCTGCATATACCATCCCACCAACGACCCCCTGCAGCCAGGCCAGAAACAGCGGCTTTTTCCCAGCCAGGACACGGCCGGTACTCCAGCCGAGCAGAACAGCAATCCTGCGCGCCCCCCCCCCCCCCCCCCCCACCGGCGCCAATCTGCGGATGGCGGCGACCCGTCCATGAACAACTGCGCGAGCCGACGGTGGCTTTCCCTGACCAGGCCCGCGGCCGGTGCTCAGCCAGCGGCGACCCGCCCCACCCCGCCATCACCACCCACCTGAGGGTACCAACGCCACGGGGGCAATTGGCGGCGGGTGGCCCTGACGCAGCATTTCACATACCCCAGGGGCATCACATCACATGCCAGCCAATATAATGTATTGAGCTTGGGAACGCTTTGGACGTACATTCTGCCTGCATCACGGACAACAACGATTTGAAGGGGCACATGGATGTGCCATGGGGGCGAGCAGTGTGCGCTGACGAATCTATCAAAAATCCAGCCAATCGCACCCCACGTCCGCCATGCATATGGAATTTCTGTACTGGGGTTCAACGTGTTTGAAAGGTCTGTGTTGGTCCATGAACATTGATGGAATTTTGTCGACTTCTGTGGTCTGGTCAGCGGTTCCGTTACGGGGGGCCTGTCATCCGTGGGTTGCGGCACGATTTCTGTAATACGTGGTTCCATTCTGGAAGGTTGTGTGGATTTTTGTAGCCGTCTATGCTGACATCAGCATAGCCCCGCCTGTTTCTGTTAGACACTTTTTCTCTCTGTGGCCCGCTCACAGATTCCGTTGACTGTACGGAATTTTAATGGAGCCAACCAAATTCTGTTGTGGACGGACAGAGGGGGCCACCTCTACCTAGTGCATGTGATAGTTTAAGTGGCCTGGGCAACAAAAAGGCTAGAAAACACAAGGCCACTGGGGAATAATAGGTACCCCCCACAAGAGGTAGAGCAAGTGATATAAAAAAAGAGTTATGTGCACTTGTTGGGGGTTTTGAAAAGGCAGCCTAGGCTGGCCTTCCTTAAGCCCCAGCACTGTGAGAAGTATTTAGCTAGATACCCAAAGAGAGTCAAAGTTCTAGCCACCTAGATTCAAAATCACGAATTCAGTAGTGTTGCCTTTTATATGCATTTATTGCTTGTAACGTTGGCAAGTGTTCAAGCATATTCAAAAAGATACATTGCTATGGTAAAGTTGCCACAATGGTGGCTTTGGTATGTCACTGAGTTCCGAGGGAAAAAAGAGCAAAGAAAAGAAGAAGAGGAAAGAGTGGCAGAGGTTCAAGAGAAGGTGGAGAAAATGTTGATTGAGGAAGCCTCCAAGGCACCTCTGCTAGCCCACCTTGGGCTTTTTGATGAAGATGACAAAATGGAGATGTTGGATTCATAAGTGAGCCTTTGAGAGCAAAAAACATAAAAAAAGATAAAAAGGAAGTGTGCTTTTTCTAAAGTTATGTGAACATAAACAAGGGGTATTTTAGTTTGGGTTTGTAAGAACACCCTTTCGTGCAAAATGTTGTTAGTGGATATTACACAAGTGTAAAAATGGTAATTTGTGCAACTCCAAAACATGTTTTTCCTTGATCTTGAGCATATTTATTGCATTATGAGTCGATTGCACATATTGAACACAATAGTTTTTACAATTTGCTTGGGAATCAAGATGTTGCACACTAATTGTGCTATTGACTCACTAACGACATTTTGCACGAAAGGCTGTTTAAGGTGTTTTGTTACTTGTTGAGTGTGCATGCCTGATTTTAACGGGTCTTGGTTGGTTGTGGTGTCTATTGGGATATTTGCATTGACTAAATTAATAGAATAAAGTGTCTAAACTGCCGTGGGGGTGTAGGCCACTAACTGGACTTTCCGCATGCTTTATGTGTGTTTTACAATGCAATGAGGTAAGCGTTTGGCCTGGGAATCTCTGGGGTGGCCGTGCGCAGCATTGGTGACTATTGTGCGGCACAGCAAGGCTCACAACATGGTGTTCTGACCGGTCAGTGCCTATAGGTCTGTGACAGGGAATATTCTGACAATTTGAAAGCCATTTTTAGATTCTTTGGGCCCCCTTCGTTTGCGTATTTGAGCTAGCGGTATGGGGGGAGGTGCGTCCTTGCCGTTTGCTTGCGTTTGGGAGTCGGCACTGCTATTGTGGCTTCAGACGCTCAAGTGTAAGGCCATTGGGCCGTGTTTGGCAAGGCTTCCCTATCTCCAGAGGTACCCGAAAGGTGTGCCCGTCTCTGAATGTGCGTCCTGCCTACGTCGCGGTCGGCGCTGCAAAGGGCAAGCCATTGGCAGCCCTCGTTTTGTGTCCTTGTTTACCCTGACGGGGTCTTGCTTCAACTCCCAAACGGGAGTGTTGCTTATCTTTCCACCCTTTGAACGTGTTTGCGTAGCTCTGCAAGGAGTGGTGGCATGTTTTGTGACCTTGTTGGCTATGTGTGCACGTGTGTTATGCATCAGGAAAGTGCCAAAGCTGACGCAGGGTGTCGTTCAAAGCGCACCCATTTTTTCGAACCAGCCGCGTTAGTACCGGTAGTACCACGGGTCAGTAGATTTGGCTGGATGTGAAACCACACGACCCAACGTGTTGTAGACGTGCGCCAGACGCCAAGAAGGCATGTGTCTAGTAGCAAGCTCGCATATAAGCTCGCTGACACACCGAGGAGGCGTGTCGTGTAGAGCTTTGTGGTGTTGTTCACCTTGCAGCGTTGTACAAGCGTTGAGAGGTCTGGGCACACAGCTGTGTGCCTGTCGACTGCTGGTTCACAATGTGCGACGTGCTGCGAGGACAGCGAGGGAGGCACACAACACTGAGAAAGTGCTCAGAAATGTTTCGCCATGAAGGCGAACACAAAAAGGCAATGAAAAACTCAGTTGTAGGTAGTGTTGTGTTTGCGCAATCACAACTATCCTACCGCATTGTGATTGGGATACTGGACTCATAGGTATCCAAAATCCACTGAAAAGGACCAAGTGAGGCCACCAGGTCATTTGTGATGATTATGGTGGGCCTTCGCGATCAACTCCCAAAAGGTCGATTTTTCAAGATTATATAATCTTTACTCCAAAAAATGTCAATTTAGCCTAACCCCAAGTAAGCACGTCACACCCCTTTTCATGCTGCATTGATTCGCGTACCCCAGGCATGCCGCATTGTGTTGGCGTGTCATGCGCCTAATGTTTACAACCCGGCTCGTTGCATGTGCGTCACCCATCACCTTGCTTGATATGCATCTCGGCACGCGTCGCGTTTGTGCGACTTGCTTGTGTTGTTCATTGGTGGTGTTCACGGGGTTGCGTCGTGCAGCAATGCCTCCACATGGGACCTCCCTGGCAGGGCTGCCAAATTGTTCCGGTAATCGAAGGTCCACTTTGAAGGGCAAAGCTTTCATGCAGAGATATGCACTCAGTCAGCGAGACGGTGTTGCAAGCATCACAGCGGAGTGAAAAGGCGCAGTTTGCCTTTGCTCCCTCACATATATACATCATTTCAAGTACATCATACACAGTTTTTGTCCAAATTGTTCTAAAACCGTCCCTCTATCACATAATCCCACTCCCAACCGCTCTAATTAATCCGCCAACATCGAACAAGCTCGTCACACTTCCATGTTACCCTTGTATTTGCTGTAACTATGCCCTCGCCCCAGGGCAATTCCCTAACATCTATTCCATTAGCTGTCCTTCGGTGACGTCACTCGGTCGTCACGGGATCTTCATCTTCTGATGATGTAGACTTCAAATTACCGCTTCATGACCCATTCCGACTAGGTGCTGATGTCATGCTCTGGAACGCGCCTTGAAAGCCTGCAGCATCAGCGCAGCGCAGGATGCACGGAGCACAGGTGTGTCCTCCAGGTGCACAAGCGCGGTCCAACCCGCCGCCCCAGCGGCACCTGCGGTTCCGCCGGCGCAGAGCGCGGGCGCCCCGTCGAGCACCGCAAGAGGTCGACCTCCAACTCGGCGCTGAGCCGGTTCCACAGGCGGCAGGCGCCCCCCCCTCAAGATGGCGGAGCGCAAGGTGCTCAACAAGTACTACCCGCCGGACTTCGATCCGGCGGCGATCCCCCGCAGCAGGCTGCCCAAGGACCGGCAGATGAAGGTGCGCATGATGCTGCCCATGTCCCTGCGGTGCAAGACCTGCGGCAACTACATGTACAAGGGAACGAAGTTCAACTCCCGGAAGGAGGACGTGGAGGGCGAGGACTACCTGGGGATCACGCTGTACCGGTTCTACTTCCGGTGCTCCCACTGCTCTGCGGAGGTGACCATGAAGACGGACCCCAAGAACTCGGACTACGAGGTGGAGCACGGCGCCTCGAGGAATTATGAGCCTTGGAGGGAGAAGGAGATGGCCGCGGAGCAGTCCAAGAAGATGCGGGAGGAGGAGGAGAAGGGCAATGCCATGAAAGCCCTGGAGAACCGGACGATCGACAGCAAGCGGGAGATGGACGTCCTGGCCGCGCTGGACGAGCTCAAGAGCCTGAACGCTAGGAAGGGGAAGCTCAGCCATGACGAGATCCTGGTGGCTTTGAAGAATCAGAAGGATGCAGAGGACGCGCCTGGAGAAGAAGTGGAGGACGAGGAGGCCGTGAAGGCGCTATTTCAAAGGGAGAGGCTGAGTCAGGTGAAGAGGCTGAAAGATGACAGTGACAGCGACAGCGGGGAGAGGGCCAAGCGCAATAGGACAGGCCAGCCCAGCAGCAGCACGGGCGCCATGACGCCCACCCAGGCTCGCCCAGGGGACCCGGAGAGTATGTGGGATCGGAATCTGGTGGGGAGCTTGACTTGCCCACCGCCCAAGAGGAAGTCGCTTGCATGGACGCCACAGTTCAAGGTAAGGAGGAAGACAGAGGGCCCACCACTTGTGCGTGGTGTGGGGAAAGGGAATGAAGAGAATGGGAACGCGACGAAGAGTGTTGAGGGAGATGAGGATGGACTGCAGAAAGAGCCTCATGCTGGTGCAACAAGCAAGAAGAGAGATAGGGAAGAAGATGGGATTGATGGGTCAACCAAAGAGGTCAAGATTGGTGGGGGCTCAGACAGTGATTCTGGGAAACTGGGTTTGGCGTTTTTGGTAAATTACAGTGACAGTGGAGGAGAGTAGGAGCACCGATGAGCTATTGTGGAGGTCAGGAGGGCATGCTGCAAACATCCAAATAAATGTAGCAAACATCACGCACAGCAGCTAACGAGGGCCAAGAGCCCTGTTGGGCAGGCCTTAGTAGCATCTGTTGGTTTCAAGCCCTTCTGGGACCCACAATGCATGTGTGGTGGCAATGCAGGCGATGCTGCAGTCTCTGCCAGCTATTGTTCCAGCTGCACAAATACACCAACCGATTTTGTTCATGGTTTCGAGCCTTGGAGGTTTTGTCATGACAGTCAGGTCCTTTAATGGTATGAAACCAAGATTTGTCAAGATCAAAGGTTTCTCTCTTTTTCAGTAAAGAAACCTCTTCCACCTGTCGATGCCATTCACTGCTATGTGTTGCTGTTGGTATACTGAAAGGATTCTTCACTGTTTCTGCAGTGGGGACAGGGTGTTTGAAACTCCCTATTCATGAGGGTGACATTCTTTATGTGGCGTGTCCTGTGGTTTATGAACTTTGAAATGAATGGTGAACCTCTGGCCATGGCTTGTTGATTGCCGGATGCCCTCTCAGACAGTACATGCATCAGTTGTCCTTCGTTGGCTATATGATTCTATGACAGTTATTGCCGTCGATGTACACAGCGTTGTTTTCCTACAAAAGGACAAGTGGCCTGGTGCCCATGAGGAGTGGATGAACACCCTGCAGCTGCAGTACAGGGGCAATGCTGGTAAACGAAGCAGTCAATGGGCCATGGCCATTGATATGGAATGCATTTGGCAACGATTATGGCAAGGGACACATTCTTCCAATCTGTACCCTTGGCCGAGTGCACAACCTGCTGTACTTTCTTCCAGTTGTGGGCGCAGTTTTCCTCTTGCAGCAGAAGTTTGGTATTAAAAGCTTGAGTCCTGACCGATTGAACAAAGTAAGAAAAAACAGCAGTTGCAGCAGTCGCTTCCTTAACAAATCTTGGGCCGCACTTGGGGTTTGTATAGCTGAACATGCGCTCACACACTGGATTCAGTATCCCCAGAAGATGCACAACTAGAGATCAACCCGCTGACAAATTCTGCGCATCCTGGCGTGTACCTAGTTCACAATCACGCTTTTGCTCGCCAGGCAATGCTGGGTACTCTGCATGCAGTCCTCATCATGGCTCCTGTTCGCTTCCTATTGATAGCAAGTTGCCATGGGGGTCACTGTTTTTTTCTGCGATAGTGAAATTATTCTTTTTTGCGGCATGTTCTTTTTTGCGACAGTGGCGATAATTGATGAGCGAGGTGTTGGCATCAGATTTGCCACACCAACCCAGCGCGATCCACAGGGCCTTCTCTCGCAACGGCTGCGAAGGCGCGTCTGTTCGGAGAAAGGACCGGATGACAAAACGGGTGCGTTTGGGGATGCCCAGGGTCCCCACCTTGTGGAAGGGGGCCTGCCGCTGCCATTCAGCGCTCACTTTGGCACTTGGATTCAGCCGCATTGGCTGAGGTTGGAGATCCCCATTTTCTCCCAACCTCTACTTTTGCACTGCTGGCCCGCTAAAATGCGCGCAAATCGCCACGCGGGGAGATGGCACCACCAACTGAGATTGGGGGGTGTTGCTGATGACGCTGGACGGGGAGGTCAACGCGCTGATTGCCGGCGCCATTGCTGTCCAAGCATCGACCATCAAGGTGCCCACGCCCAGCACCGTTGGCTGGTCACACAACCAGTTTTAGCACGCCTTGTGAGCCACGACCTGTGGCGGGCTGCCACTGGCGGCATTTCAGCATTTCGCGCAACTTAGTGACCAATTGGTGGCGCCCGGCCCTGTGCGTCACCCAGGCCCCAGACAAGCACAGCGTTGGCCTGAGAAGCTCGAAGAAATGGAACAACGATCCCTTGGGCTGTGAACAACAGCGACGGTGGCTGCTGGCAGCAGGTGGCAGGTGGCGGGTGACGGGCAGGCGTGTCGGTTCAAAGGCCCCGCCGCCTTCCCAAACTACATATTAGTCATATTCACTATCACAAAAAAAACAATCTACTATCGCAAAAAAGAGAACCATAGTATATTAAGCCCTTCCACATAGTAACGTAACGCTGGGCTCTTTTTTGCGGAGTTGATGAATAAAAAATAACGGTGCTGGAGCGAGGTGCGGAGCAGCCGAATTTAGTAATGGCGAGGGCACGGCCTCGGGACGGGGCCTGTTCGGCACAACTGCAAAATGGCAAACAATTTAAGCCATCTTT